AGAGGCGGGCCTGGCAGGGAAGGGTCTGAAGGGCATGGGGGCCAGAGAGGGTGCCCACTCCCCTGCAGGACCTGTGACGGTCGCCCCGCCGATCCTTCCCCACTGCTCCGGGTCGGATTCCGCACACAGACTTTATTGAACACCTGCTGGGCAGTGACACTGTTGAGGCAGGAGTCCCACCCCAGTCCAGATCGCAGCTGGAACCTCTTTGCCTCCTGTGACACCCCACCTCACTTTGATACCCACTTCCTGAGTATATGTGACCCCTAGGACCTGGGATACCTAGCACCAGCCCCAAGACCACCCCCAAATGCAGCAGCCCAGGGCCCAAGGCAGCCACCGTCTCCTGAGGCCAGTGAGGGTGGGGGCAGCAGTGTGCTCAGCAGGTGCAGGGTGAGCTCAGGAGTTCTGAATCACCACCTGGAACTTACCTGGAAAAGAAGGACTGGCTTAGGCTGGAGGCTGGGATGAGGGAGAGGCAGAGGACACCTGGATGGCTCTCAGAGGCTCACCCCGTCTCACACTGACAGCCCAATGGCTGGGCTGAGGCTTTTTCCTCCCCCCACCCATGTGGCCTGAATCCCTGAACTGCGTGGGTAACCAGGAATATGAGGGCACTGCACAGGCTTCTGTGGTATGCCTCCTCAGTCCTACCCACTGGGGCCCCCCATGAGTGGGCCTGGGGAACTGGCAGAGGGAAAATCACTAGGGGAAGTGGTTGGGCAGGCTGTCCCCAGGCAGGAATGGGGCTCCAGCTTGTTTGACAGAGAACACCCCATCAGGCAGGCTGCAAGTTCCCAGGAGCCTGGCCATCCCCCCACCAAAGTATCAGCGAGGGTGACTTCTATTACGTCCACCTGGGCTCCTGTGCTGGGGGGGGCTGGGGGGAGGTGTTCAAACCGCCAGACACTGCACTCCGGCCCCCAGCCTGCTCCCCAGGAGGATGCTCTGTGCCAGACAGTTCTCTCTGCAGCACTGGGGAAGTCATGGGGCCAGGGGCACAGATGGGGCTGCACCTGCTGTGTGGCTAAGCAGGTGACTTACGCCTGGGCCCACCTCCCAGGCACCAACATAGGAGCAAGCCTGAGCTCTGAGGCCCCCAGCAACTCAAGGGATGAGAGGAATCCCGCCCCCCACCGCCATGACTCACAGCCAGGCAGGGCTGCCACGGAGGCGGTGACCATGCTCTCGATGCCCAGGGTACAGAGGGCGCCGCGCAGGAGGCCGCAAGTGAAGGCCAGGAACTGGGAAGGGGACACAGACCAGTGTGGGAAGAGAAGGGAGGCCGGCACCTGAGGTCTGGGGTACCCCTTAGGCCTGGGGAGGGGCCTGACATGGGGTTGAGGCTGGGTACATAGGAGGAAGGGAGATGTGGACAGGCCCCAGCTCCCCCATACCTTAGGCGCTTCCTCAAGATACTGCAGGCCAGCAGCCATGGGGAGGAGGAGGGGGAAGCTGTTGTCCTGCAGGACATAGGTCCCCTGGGGGAGAGGAGAGGCCATGGGTGGGGGGCCTGTACATCTGAAGTGCAGGGAGGGGAAGTGGGAACCCAGGGCCTAGATTGGGCCGAGGCTGGGAAGGCCCCCTCTGTGAGAACTGCTAGTCATAACCTTGGCCTCCAGTGCTCTGTACCTGGGGCTTCCCGACTTGGGCTGGGTGTCCCTGCCCTGGGGAGTGTGGGTCCTGCCCCCACCTCCCCGGGTTGTGCAGAAAAGCTGGGGACCCAGCCCAGGAAGTGGCAGAGGGGCAGCACAGTGTGGGGACTGGACCAGCTTGGGACAAGTGGCATTGCACTGGGGAGAGGGCAGGCAACCACCAGGGGCTTTCTGCTCATGGGTGGCTTTCTGCTCATGGGTGGCTCACTCCTGGTAGGCGGGGCTGGGGAGGTTCTGGAAACACCCCCTATACCCTAGTGCAGCCTCCTGGCTTCCATTAGAGGATCAGAGACCCACTAACGGCCGTGCGGCTGCTGGTGGGAAAGCTCTGGGCGGCACTGGGGCTTCCCTCCCACTCTCCTGGCCATGCCCTCGGGAGGGAGTGGGGCAGGTTGGCAGGCGTGGGTGCTCCCACCTGGTGATTGGTGCGCAGGCTGTCCATCTGCTTCTGGAATGCGGCCAGCCACAGGTCTTTGCACAAGAACTTGAGGACATCCAGCTCCTCCCTGAAGGCTAGCATCTCTCGGGGTAGCCTGGTGTGGCAGTGCCAGGCTGAGGATGTGGGGCCGGGCCAGGACCAGGGAGGACGCCAGGCCTGACTCCCACATGGAACAATGCAACCCTCCCCGCCCGGGGCCTGCCCAACCCTGCCAGCCAGGCTGGGGGAGAGCAGGAGGGGCCGCTCTCACCTCTCGCCTAGAGCCTGGCCCACGCGGAAGCCCATACTCTCCAGGACTGACAGGTTCATATTCTGTCCCTAGAGGGCCAGGGGAGAGAAGCTCAGGGGCCCTTGGCCACCTCGAATGCAGGGCCACCCAGGGGGACACCTGCAAGGGGACCTGAAGACCAACTTGCTGGTGGCTGTCAATTCAGGGGTGAGTGGGGATGGGTTCCAGCACAGCCTGGCAGGGCAAGGGCAGGCCTCTAGGGTGCCGGGGCTCCCTCCCCCTCCTCTGCAGACCTCGCAGACTCTCTGGATCCTGACTGTCAGGCTCCAAGGACCAGATCCTCCTTCCTTCAGGAACAATGGGGGTCTTCCCCAGAACTCCTCCCCGCTGTACAACTCTTCCTGGTAACATCCGTCATGCACTGCAAGTGCTTTCAGTGTGAACCCTCACAACACACGTGGGCGCTGTGCCTACACCAAGAGGCTCCAGGTGACCTGCCCAAGGCCTGGGGGCTGGGCTACAGGAAAGGGGGCTGTGGGAGTCAGCCCTGATTGTTAATGCCTTACAGTACTGGCCAAGATCCCTGGGGGGACACATGGAAGGAAGCTCAGGACAGGCGGATCTTCCTTTGGGTGCTTGAGAAGGGCAGTGGTGGCCACATGGTGTCTGGAGGGCAGGCCAGGGTCCACATGGGAGGGGACTGTGCTGGCAGAGGCAGGCCCCAGGCAGCAGGCATGGCAGGAGGGCTGCACGTGCTGTCTACCCATGTGCCTATGTGTGGACAGCACGGCTGGAGAAGTGCTCATGGATTTTTCTTTCTTGGAGACACTGACTCATCCTTTTGCCCAGGCTGGAGTGCAATGGCACGATCTTGACTCACTGCAACCTCCGCCTCCTGGGTTCGAGCGATTCTCCTGCCTCAGTCTCCCAAGTAGCAGGGATTACAGGCTTGCACATCAGCACATGTGAGTCATTTTCGTGTTTTGGGTAGAGATGGGGTTTCACCATGTTGGCCAGGCTGGTCTTGAATTCCTGGCCTCAAATGATTCGCCCGCCTTGACCTCCCAAAGTGCTGGGATTACAGGTGAGAGCCACTGCACCTGGCCATGGATTTTTTTTTTTTTTTTTTTTTACTTTTTTACTCGGGTGATCTGCTACAAGCAGAGGAAGGGAGGAGGCCCAGACTGGGGGGCACCAGAAACCCCAGGACGGCTTGGGCATGAGGTACCAGATTTCTCAAAGTCCAGCAGATCAGAAGATGGGGAACGGAGGAGAGGCAGGTGTGGAACCGTGAGCTGGGGGAAACTCACCCTTCCACTAGCTGCTCTCAGGAGCCTGCAGTCATGGGGCCTGAGCCCTCCAGCCCTCCTTCTCCTGCCCTCAACCACCACCTTCCCTCGGGAATGGCTGCACCATCACCGCAGCCATCTGAATGAGGACAGGAATTCTCTGCTTGGCTCCAGTCCTGGAGAGGGTGTCTGAGGAAGGCTTCTTGCAGCCTGCCCGCCCAGCTGCCTCCATCACCCTCTCTGCTGCCTCCTAATACTTGCTTTCATTGGTCACGAAGGCTCAGACTTCTGGGCCTTTCCTTTTTTTTTTTTTTTTTTTTTTTTTTTTTTTTTTTTTTTTTTTTTTTTTTTTTTTTTTTTTTTTTTTTTTTAAAGACGGGGTTTCATCATGTTGGTCAGGCTGGTCTTGGAACTCCCGACCTCAGGTGATCCGCCCGCCTTGGCCTCCAAAGTGCTTGGATTACAGGCATGAGCCACCATGCCCAGCCGACTTCTGGGCCTTTCTACTGGCTCCCTTCCTTCCCTCCCTCCCAGCTTGCATCCCCAGCCCTACCCACTGTCACTGGATGAGGATGCAACTCTGTGAAGGCGGGGACCCAGGCTGACCAATTCACATCTGGCCTGCAGCCAACACAGGGCTTGTCATGTGGGTGGGACTTAACAGACAGGCTGATCAGACAAAGTGCACCAAGACTCTGTCTCAACAAAAACAACAATACAAAGATTAGCTAGGTGTGGTGGCATGCACCCATGTCCCAGCTACTTGGGAAGCTGAGGTGGGAGAATCGCCTGAGCCCAGGAAGTTGCAGCTGCAGTGAGCCACTGCACTCCAGCCTGGGCAACAGAATGAGAACCTGTCCCAAAAAATAAACAAAAATCAAGTAACCCAATTATTTACTCACTTCTACCAGCTCAGGGTCCTGGGGGGCCAAACCCCATCCCGGAACGGATCCTGGACAGGACGCCATCCCATCGCAGGGCGCACAGAGGCCCACACTCACTCACGCTGGGCCCACGGAGGCCCCGCAGCTCACCCAGTGGACACATCCCAAGGACTGCCCAGAGGAACCTGCACCAGCAGCCAGACAGCGGCCCCCGGAATCAATATTCTTTTCTCATCAACGTCACAACACAAATGTTATTCCAGGACTGGCGTACCGTGTGCCAGGCATTTTTTGTTGTTCTTGAGAAGGAGTCTCGCTCTGTCGCCCAGGCTGGAGTGCAATGGCACAATCTCGGCTCACTGCAACCTCCACCTCCTTCTCCTGCCTCAGCTTCTGGAGCTGGGATTACAGGTGTGTGCCACCACACTGGCTAATTTTTTGTATCTTTAGTAGAGACAGCGTTTCTCCATGTTGGCCAGACTGGTCTCAAACTCTTGACCTTGTGATTCAACCGCCTCAGCCTAAGTGCTGGGATTACAGGCGTGAGCCGCGACGCTGTGCCAGGCGTTTTCTATAGCCGTTTTTACCTTTCCAGCCTCACAAGGAGGCTGTATTTCACTGGTGAAAACTGGGAACCTGTCCATGGCACCCTGAGCCCAGGGCTGTCTTTCACACCCCAGCAGGTCCAGATAGGAGTATGTGGGGGGTGACAGTCATGGCTATCTGCCTAGCAGAGGTGGGGAGTGCTAGGAATGGGGGGCCTGAGCAGAGGTCGCCCGTATCTCAAGCCAAGTTGCCCCTTCCCCTGCCTGGCCCCTTTGGCAGCCCTCGCTCTCATGGGTGACAGCGACACGGCTTTCTGTTGCACTGTGCTGGCACTCCCTCTGGTATCCTCAGGCACGGCAGGGCCAGCCACACAGCAGGGGCTCAGGGAAGGATCTGATGATGGCAGGAGACGGGCAGCTATGTGAGAGACAGGGTGGGAAGAGACCTCTGCTCTTGGGTCCTTTACACCAGCACTGGTATAGAGCCACCCACCCGGGTCCAGATCCGCCCCAGCACTTACCAGGTGTGGGCCCTGGGCCACTGGCTGACTGTGCCTCAGTTTCCTCGTGTGTAAAAGGAGGGCCACTTTGTTTGTGTTTGAGACAGGGTCTCACTCTGCCACCCAGGCTGGAGTGCGATGGCAGGATCTCGGCTCACTGCAGCCTCCGCCTCCTGGGTTCGGGTGATCCTCTTACCTCTGCCTCCCAAGTAGCTGGGACTACAGGCATGAGCCACCACGCCCAGCTCAAATGAGGGTAACATTAATGGCAGCTACCTCTGGGACCTCACGAGGAGCAAGGCTTAGTAAAAGCACATTCTGCTCTGAAGCGGGAGGGAGCGGTGGGGCCGTGTGCTGCCTCCTTGCAGTCTCTCCTGTCCGCCCCGCCCCTCGGCTGTTTTCGCTCGGTTGTTTCCGAGGCACCTGCTGGCTCCTGGGCAGAGGCTGACCCTGTTCAACCTCCACCTGCAAAGCCACTCCCTGCGAGGTCCGGGATGTGGTGGGGACCCCAGGGGAACAGCAGGAACCCTGGTTCCGGCCTTAAGAACACAGAGAGAGGTGCTGGCACACGGGTGAGTGAGGGGGGGAGGGGCTCGAGAAGCCAGCGTGACTCCCCGACTGTCGCCCTCAACTCTCCTCCCTCATCCAGCAAGGCGTCCGGCGCGAGCCCAGATCCTGCCTGTGCCCACTCAGATCTCCCATCCTGTCCCCACCCAGCCCTGCAGGTTTAGCCCGCCACAGCCTCTGCCCTAGCTCCTGCAGCGGTGGGGCTCTTCCTAGGCCAACTTCCATTCAGTCCATTCCTGTGGCCAGGGAGGCCCTTCTAGAATATACATCTGAGCCAGGCGTGCCTCAGTTTAAACCCTACTGTGGCTCCCACTGCCTTCGAGACGGAGCCCCGTTCCCAGGAGGGCCTTGTTGGGGCTCCCAGCCTCACAGGCTCAGCATTGCATTCCGGGCCGAGGGCAGGGACCATCTGACGACTGCTCTGCCTGCCCCACGCCCTCCTAAAGGGCTGCCCAAGTGCACTCAGAGGGCATGGTGGATGGAGGCCTGGCCCAGCAGGCTGTTCTGGGGTGCCTCAGGCCTGGCCTCAGACAGCGGGTGGCGGCACCTCAGCTCTTCACTACACAGACTCAGAGGAATGCTCTCTTTGCCCAAATGCTTCCCTTGTCTTCAAAGCCTCTAAGGTAGAAAAGCCCCGGCTGCTTCCGCCAAGGGCTCCTCCTGCTTCAGGAACAAAGGCCCCCAGTGCCTCTGGCCAGTCCGCCACTTCACATCCTGTGACAGCACAGGAGAACAGCCACAAATAACCAACGTAATTGTACGACAGGAGGCCACAAGAGCCCTACAAGCAGGCTGTGGCTCAGGGGACCGGTGCTGTTGGGGACAGAGATGAAGGAATCACCATCTTTGTCCTCAAGGAGCTCTGGAGCTGGTGGGAAAGGCAGGCCTGCGCTACCCAGAAGCCCTGGGGCCAGAAGCCCGGGTTCTGACTTTGCCTTTGATTCTCGCCGCATGGCCTTGGGAAATCCCTTCGCCTCCCAAGTGCACCGTTCCTTCTCTGTGAATCGGGAGGGCTGTTCTGATGACTATCCAGCAAACACACTGTGCCAGTACTGGACAGATGTCCCCAGACAATGGGAGGCCTGCTTGGTTCAGAGGAAGCCTTTTGGGCCAAAGAGAAGGAATGGAGAGAAGAGTTGGGACCAATGAAGAGAAAGGAGAAGTGAAGCCATTTCTCATGAGGCCCCTGAAAGACGAGGCTCCCTAGAAGGAAGGAGTGCGGGGAAACTACGCCGTTCTTGCCCCTGGCTGCACCCGAGAGCCACCTGGGAGCTTTTTGAGGCCTGACGCTCAGTGGCAGCTGGGTAGGGAACCCCTGCCCGAGGTCCCAGGCACATTGGTGTGCTCTTAAAGGCCGGCGGTGAGCAGAGCTGAGCAAGCCAGTTTCCCACACTCGCTTGACCACAGAAACCCATTAAAATCCCTCCCATGGCAAATACTGGGAAATGCAAGTGAGAGTTTACAGCACAGGCTTTGGAAGTGAGAGGCCTGGTCGCGTTCCTGACTGCCGCTTGCAGGGAGCTCCGTCCATCAAAGCCTCCGTTGCCTCATCTATAAAGCGGGAGGACCATGCCGACCTCTCCGGGTCGTCAGACGATCAAACAACATCAAGAGTATAGCGCCATGAGAGCGCACAGGAAGCACTCATGTGGGGGAGGGAGGGAGCAGCCACACTGCTTATAAACCAAATGACCCCCAGCTCCCAAGCATCCCCACCCGCCATGGGACAGGGTGTGCATTCACCCCCTCAACACCCCCATGCTGAGGACTCACTACGGGCCAGGGCATACGGTGGTGGTCAACACAAACCCAGGCCCATCCCACACAGAGTGCACTCTGGCAGGGGGAGACGAATGTGAATCAAAGGATCATACAGACACAGTTCAGAAGCATCCTGGCAGGGTGTGGTGGCTCACACCGGTAATCCCAGGTGTGAGTTTTTGGGAGGCTGAGGCCAGAGGATTGCTTGAGCCCAGGAGTTTAAGATCAGCCTGAGTAACACAGTGAGAACACATCTCTACAAAAAATAAAAAATTAGCAGGGCATAGTGATGCGCTCCTGCGCTCCTAGCTACTTGGGAGGCTGAGGTGGGAGGATCACTTGAGCCCAGGAGCGTGAGGCTACACTGACCTACGATCATGCCACTGCACTCCAGCTTGGGTGACAGAGCAAGACTCTCTTAAAAAAAAGTATATCAAGGCCGGGGGCGGTGGCTCACGCCTGTAATCTCAGCACTTTGGGAGACCAAGGCATGCAGATCACCTGAGGTTGGGAGTTCAAGACCAGCCTGACCAACATGGAGAAACCCCATCTCTATTAAAAATACAAAATTAGCTGGGCGAAGTGGCACATGCCTGTAATCCCAACTACTCGGCAGGCTGAGGCAGGGGAATAGCTTGAATCCGAGAGGTGGAGGTTACAGTGAGCCAAGATCGTGCCACTGCACTCCAGCCTGGGCAACAGAGCTAGACCCCGTCTCAAAAAAAAAAATCAAATACATCCTTATTGAGTGTGATGAAGCTTACCAAGAAAAAAGTAGGAGAGGGAGACCAGACAATGTATAAAGGAGATCCAAACTTGGGAGCAGGGAAGGCTTCCCTGGGGAAGGATAGTTGAGCTGAGATCCGAAGGATGAACAGGTGTTAGCATGGTGAAGATGTGACAGGTGGAATGAGCCGGGAGGAGGGAACAGTCTCCTTTTACAGGAGCAGAGGGGAAAGCGCTGGACAAGGGCAGAGGAGGGGCCACACAGGAAAGGTATTTAGACAGCAGACTGGCCAGAGCCCAGTGGAGGACTGCAGGTGAGGGAGAAAAGGCAGGCATCGGGACTCCGGGGCTTCTGGTTTGAAAGCCAGTAAGGATATGGAGTGTTGAGACACAACTACCCGCCCCCAGACTGATGCACACTTCCTGGGCCGTGCTGTGCCTTCCTCATAGCAGTTACACAATGTACCAGATACTTTACTCATTGCCTTGTCTGTCTCCTCCAACGATGAGGAAGCTCCAGGAAGGCAAAGATTTTTGACGGTTCAATGAGTAATCCCCAGGTTTTCTCAGAGACAGGGTCTCACTCCGTCACCCAGGCTGGAGTGCCGTGGCATGATCATAGCTCACTGCAGCCTTGAACTCCTGGGCCCAGGTGATCCTCCCACCTCAGCCACCCGAGTTGCTGGTAGTATACACACGTGTCATCACACCCAGCTAATTTTAAAAATTTCTTTTAGAGGTGGGGTCTTGCTATGCTGCCCAGGCTAGTCTTGAACGCTGGGCCTCAAGTGATTCTCCCACCTCTGCCTGCTGAGTAGCTGGGATTACATGTGCAAGTCACCACACCTGGCTAAATGTATTTTTTATTTATGATGTTTCCAACTTATGATAGTTTACATCTGTACATTGAGATGGTAACAAGCAACATTCTCTCTGGGGCTTCCTGGAAGGAAACCAGAGCCAGTAAAAACGTCTTACATACAGGCCAGGCCCAGCAGCTCATGCCTGTAATCCCAGTACTTTGGGGAAGCCAAGGCAGGCAGATTGCTTGAGTCCAGAAGCTCAAGAACAGCCTGGTCAGCATGGCAAAACCCTGTCTCTACAAAAAGTATAAAAATTAAGGCTGGGCACGGTGGCTCACGCCTGTAATCCCAGCACTCTGGAAGGCCAAGCGGGGTGGATCACGTTATCAGGAGATGGAGATCATCCTTGCCAACATGGTGAAACCCCATCTCTACTAAAAGTACAAAAAATTAGCCGGGTGTGGTGGCGTGTGCTTGTAGTCCCAGCTACTCAGGAGGCTGAGGCAGGAGAATCACTTGAACCTGGGAGGCAGAAGTCGAAGTGAGCCGAGATCACGCCACTGCACTCCAGCCTGAGCAACACAGTGAGACCGTCTCAAAAAAAGAAAAAACAAAGGAAAAATTAGCCGGGTGGGATGAAGCACACCGATAGTCCCATCTACTCGGGAGGCTGAGTGGGGAGGATTGCTTGAGCCTTCGAGGTGGAAGCTGCCGTGAGCCAACACTGCGACACTGCATTCCAGCCTGGGTGACAGTGTGAGACCCCCATCTCAAAAACAAAACAAAACGAAACAAGGCCCAGCGTCTTAGCTCACGCCTATGATCCTAGCACTTTGGGAAGCCAAGGCATGCGGATCACCTGGGGCTGGGAGTTCTGAGACCAGCCTGGCCAACATGGCAAAACCCCATTTCTACTAAAAATACAAAAATTAGCCAGGCATGGTGGTGCCAGCCCGCTTGTGGTCCCAGCTACTTGGGAAGCTGAAGAGTGGGATGGTCACTTGAGCCCAGGAGGTTGAGGCAGCAATAAGCCATGACTGCACCACTGCACTCCAGCCAGCCTGGGTGACAGAGCGGGACCCTGTCATACACACACACTCTCTCTCCCAGGCCGGTCACAGTAGTTCACACCTATAATCCTAGCACTTTGAGAGGCTTAACCGGGAGAATCACTTGAGCCTAGGGGTTCGAGACCAGCCTGGGCAATACAGCAAAACTCATCTCTTTTTTTGGTCCCGAGGTCCCGCCATTGCCCAGGCAGGAGTGCAATGGCGAGACCTTGGCTCATTGCAACCTCTGCCTCCCGTGTAGCTGGAATTACAGGCACTCGCCATCATGCCTGGTTAACTTTTGTAGAGATAGGGTTTCACCATGTTGGCCAGGCTGGTCTTGAACTCCTGACCTCCGCCTCCTGGGTTCAAGCGACTCTCCTGCCTCAGCCTTCTGAGTAGCTCGGATTACAGGCGCCCGCCACCACACCTGGCTAATTTTTGTATTTTTAGTAGAGACGGGGTTTCGCCATGTTGGCCAGGCTGGTGTCGAACTCCTGACAGGTGATCAGCCCACCTCGGCCTCCCAAAGTGCTGGGATCACAGGCGTGAGCCACCGGGCCCAGCGGCATATTTCTGTTAATTACTTGACTCCCCTAGTGAAATGTAAGCTTCAGGAGAACGGGGATTCTGTATTTGAGTGCCTGGAATACAACAGGCGCTCAGTAAGTGGGTGAGGAATGAATAAATATCCCACTCTGAGGCTTAGGTACGTTATGATGGTCACTTTACAAAAGAGAAAACTAGGACACAAAAAGATTAAGTCACTGGGTCGCACACCTAGTGAGTGGCGGAGGCGAGTCCTCGGCGCACGCCCAATAACAGCATTACTGCGATTACCAGCCGCTTACTCAGGCCTTGAGCTAAGTGCTTTACCCTGAGTCATCTCGCTCAATTTAGCAATAACCCCGAGCCGGCACCGTCGCGAACCCAACTTTCCAGAGGAAGAAGCCAGCGCCAGATGTTGCCCTGCAAGGCAGGGGCTAGGCTGGGGTTCGAACCCGGACGGCTGACGCGCCCTCCGCGCTCCCCGAGGCGTTACCGTGGCGGCCCCCGGTTCCTCCCCCCAGGGTTCGGCGCTCACCCCCGGGCCGGGGTCGGGGTCGTGAGCCCACAACTCCGCCACCATCTCCGTGTGAAGAAACTCGAACAGCACAGTATCCGCCATCCACCCTCCTCGCGCGCCTAAAGAAGCTCCCAACCCTTCCCGCTCTCATTGGCCAGGCTGGGTAAGCCCCGCCTCTCGCGTCAGGGCGCGAGCCCTCCTACCACCGCTTCCATTGGTGTTTTACGCTAGCCCTGCCTCCTCGCTTCAGCTTCACGTGGTGCGCGCGTGAGCCTGGGCCACTAGGGGGCGGGCCTACTCCGCCTCTGATTGGCCACACGTGACATCTTCTGCCCTTACTTCCGTCCCTTCCCTATTTCCGGGTTCTCGAGCATTCCTATTGGCCAAATTACTGGTTTTACACGTGACATATTCGGCTTTTAAAACCCCTATTTGTCCACTACAGACTTTCCTCGCCTCACAACCCGGAAGAGCTGGCCCAGCCGCTTCTCTATTGGCAGTTCCTCCATTCAGGTGTGTCTTCTGCACACGCCCTCAAAGCCGATGCTGAGAACTTGCTTTCTGATTGGTAGCCGGGCGAGTTCACGTGACTTGGCCGCTATTGCCCGCCCAGCTCACTTCCCTATTGGTCGAGATCACAGCCCTTCAGCTGCCACGGTGAGGACGCAGCACTCCGGCTAGGAAGCAGATCCTGCAGGCTCGGAGCGTCAGCTGCCGGGTACGGTCTTTGGCGATAGCGCTTTCCTATCCCATGAGTGTCCCCTGCGGAGTCCAGTGGGGCTGTCATCCTTTCTGAGACTCTGGCACTGGTCGCGAGCAGCTCACGGGCCCGTGCGCTTCCGGCTCTAAGAGTGGCATGGTGGACCAGGTGGAGGGTGTGGCCTCTACTGAGAGGCAAATTCGTAAAGAGCTCAGCTTGGGATTCCGGGAACTCGGGCCCCAGAGCCATGATTGAGCTGGTCAGTTTCCCCATCTGTACACTGAAGAGCCTGGGGTCCAGTAACCCCCATCATCACCCAGTTTACAGAACAGGAAACTGAGGCCCAGGCAGGGGGAGCAGCTGACCCCAAGTCATTAAAAGAATCAGCGAAGGGGCTGGGAATCCAGGTCCTGCGCCTTTTACCCACCTCGGCGCCCGTCTCACGTGCAGTCCCGTCGCTCTTCTCCCCTAGCTCGGCGCCATGGCGTCCCAGGGTCGGCGGCGGAGGCACCCGCGGAGGCTGGAGACGGTGGTGCCGGGGGAAGCGACTGAGACGGATTCGGAGCCCTCTGCGTCCTCGTCTGAGGAGGAGGAGCTGTACCTGGGTCCTTCGGGCCCGACGCGCGGCCGCCCCACTGGGCTGCGGGTGGCTGGGGAAGCCGCGGAGACCGACTCGGACCCGGACCCGGAGCCGGAGCCGGAGCCGACGGCTGCGCCCAGGGACCTGCCTCCGCTCGTGGTGCAGCGGGAGTCGGCGGAGGAGACCTGGGGCGCGGAGGAGGCCCCGGCGCCCGCCCCCGCGCGCTCACTTCTGCAACTTCGGCTGGCGGAGAGCCAGGCTCGGCTGGACCACGACGTAGCGGCCGCCGTGAGCGGTGTGTACCGCCGTGCGGGCCGCGACGTGGCCGCCCTGGCTAGTAGGCTGGCGGCAGCCCAGGCGGCGGGGCTGGCGGCGGCCCACAGCGTGCGCCTGGCACGCGGGGACCTCTGCGCACTGGCTGAGCGCCTGGACATCGTGGCTGGCTGCCGCCTGCTGCCGGACATCCGCGGCGTGCCGGGTACCGAGCCTGAGCAGGACCCGGGGCCGCGGGCCTAGCCATGATTCTACTTCCCAACCTGACTACCTGACCCTGCAATTTGGGGGTAGGCCTTGCTGCCTCTGGAACTTGACTCTGTCCCTTGTGTCTCTTTTAATTATTTTTATTTTTTTATTTTAAAGACGGGGTTTCACCATGTTGGCCAGGCTGGTCTTGAACTCTTGACGTCAGGTGATCCTCCCGCCTCAGCCTCCCAAAGTGCTGGGATTACAGGCGTGAGCCACCGCGCCGGGCCCCTTGTGTCTCTTATCAACCCCATACCTCGCCCCCATCTTGGTGTCACCCATGGGGGCTAATCCGGTCCCGTTGGGTAATGCCTTGTATTGGATATAGTTCAACCGCTACTGTGGAGACCAGGGCCCCACTACCCTTAGACCTGGTTCCTGCCCGCTGATCCTGACCCTGCTCCCTGGTTCTGAGCCTTCCTCTGGGGCTTGGCTCCAGCCTTTGATGAATAGTTGCTCCTTAAACCGTTTCCACTCTAGAGGCTCACCATGTCATATTTTTTCTTCTACCTTTTTATCTTTTTACTGTCTGTCTCTTTTTTTTTTTTTTTTTTTTTTTGAGGCAGGGTCTCTGTCACCCAGGCTAGAGTGCAGTGGCAGGGTCAGCATTCACTACAGCCTCGACCACAGGCTCAAGTGATCCTACCACCACAGCCTTCCAGAGTTTTGGGACTTCAGACCTACGCCACCACACCCAGTTGCCTGGTTAATTTTTCTTCTGACCGTTTGAAGAGGGAAGAAGGTCTCATTATGTTGCCCAGGCTTGTCTTAAACTCCCGGGCTCAAGAGATCCTCCCACCTTGGCGTCCCAAGGTGCTGGGGTTACAGGTTTGAGCCAGCACACTGGGCTGTACTCTGCCTCTCTGAGTTTGGTTTCTGCTCACGGTACGGGGGCTTGTTCCCATTCTTCCCACAGGAACTCAGGATATGACACAGCTTCCCTGCTGTCTTCCTTCACTCTCTTGGCTACATCTCCCACCCTAGCTCCACTGCCAGAACTTCCCTCCCCCTAGTCTGGATCTTTGTTTTGTTTTTAGAGACAGGGTCTCCGTTGCCCAGGCTGGAGTGCAGTGGCACGATCTCTGCTCACTGCAACCTCCACTAGCTGGGATAACAGGTGGGCACCCCCATGCCTGGCTAATTTTTATATTTTTAGTAGAGATGGGGTTTCACCATGTTGGCCAGGCTGGCCTTGAACTCCTGGCCTCAGGTGATCTGCCCACCTCCCCTCCCAAAGTGCTGGGATTATAGGCGTGGGCCACTGTGCCCGACCAGCTGGGTCCTTATTCTGCTGCCCGGGCTGGGCGTTGGCTCCGTGGGCTGGTTCTAGTTTTTGCTCTCCGGTCTCTTGCCTCCTTCTCCTTCTCCTTGAGCACAGCTCCACCCTCTCAGCCTGATTTTGTTTCCTGAGTCCCGCTGTGCTGTGGGATAGGTTTCACTTCCTGTTGCTGTCTCTATCCTGCTTACACCTCCCTGATCCTGGGCTCTGGGGACTCCCTATGGTTTTCTTCCTTCTGCGGGCCCAAAATGATGACCCCTCCTAACCCAAGGCAGGGGATCTTCCTCCTGACTCTGGACCAAGGTGGCATTTCCTGCAGGCCCCTCCAGGCCAACGTGATGCTTGCTCTCAACTCTCTAGGCCAAGGTGGTGGCCTCTCCTGACGCTCCAGACCTGAAGTGACACCCTTCAGGCACTTCAGGCCCGATGCAGTCCTGCCCTGGTGCTTTGGGCGCCAGACGACAGCGGTTTACAGATAAGAACGATATGACGCGTGTGGATTTCACTACGTTGGCTCCTGGATGCTGTAAAAGGCCTTGGATTTCTGACTTGGCTCAGGACCTGGGGTTAGCAGCCGCCTTCTCCTTTGCACCTGCCCCATCTTCCAGCCCCAGCTCTGGTCCTTCAGCCGCGTTCAGACTGACTCGCCTCTCCCAGCCTATTACCCTCTCCCCTGTCCCAATCCAAAGCCAAGTTCTGAGGCCCCAGGATGGAGAATGGCAGGAGCTTTTCATGGCAGACTGATTAAAACTCGAAGCCTTTACCCTTACTGTTAGTTCATCTTGTCTCCCCCTGCCAAGCTGGGGGTGCGTTGGTTGATTTCTGTGAGAATGGGGGTCCCAAGGCCTCCATGCCTGGCCCTAAGGAAGCTGAAGCTGTAGTTGGGAAATCGGGGGCCCTAGATTTTTGCCCTGGTTCTATATTTACTTGTATTTTATTTTATTTATTTTTTTTTTTGAGACGGAGTCTCGCTCTTGTTACCCAGGCTGGAGTGCAATGGCGCGATCTCGGCTCACCGCAACCTCCGTCTCCTGGGTTCAGGCAATTCTCCTGCCTCAGCCTCCTGAGTAGCTGGGATTACAGGCACTTGCCACCATGCCCAGCTAATTTTTTGTAGTTTTAGTAGAGACGGGGTTTCAC